GCGAACTCAAAGGGGGGGTTGGGGGGAGAAGGGCTCGTACTGTGCCCACGAGCCTGGACCCCCCCGCCTCTCCTCAAGTAACTAAGTGTTAGCGGGGGAAGGCACCCTGAGCCATACGAGCTCACCGGCAAGTTCGTGACCCTATATCGACTTCGCAGCGGGGGAGACTGCAAGGACCAACTCGACTGCTTTCTAAAGCTCTATATCCCGCTCCACCTGAAACCCGTGGGGGACTCAACCTTCTCTGCAACGCAGTTCTCGGAGTACCTCAACACTGGGCGGGGGAGACCTTCACATACCAGTTCGTGACAGTGGCAGGAAGGGGGAGATCGCAAACTTCGCCCTACTGGTGGACTTGATTTCCTCTTTCGAGAGGGGAAATGGCAGCAGCATATGAGGGAGCAATCTGCCGACTCTGCCGCCAAGGAAGGGGGAAGTGTGTCCCCGGGATCCGCAAAACCCATGTTCGCACAGACCCTCGTTGCCGCTTACATGGCGAAACGGACCGTCAGCCATCCGGAAAGGCCCGCCATAGGGTGGGGATCACCACAGAGAACCTTGTGAAGCTCCGTTGCAGGGGGATCCAACCTCATAATGGGGGAGCCTGGAGGACCCTCATTGATGAGTTCACCGACAAGCACTTTACATGGATTACGAGGCCCCTTTTGCAAACCACTGACGCTGAAGGGGGGCGGACCTTCTATGACACCCACCTCCAGCGAAAGTACACCAAGGCGGAGGCGGAGCAAGTGCAGCGAGAACTGGGGGAAGCCGAGGCGCAGAAACAAATACGCCAAAAGGCTCGACAACTGTTGCGATATTACCGCATCAACGACCGACACCCGCAGAAGCTCATCATGAACCTAGCTTATGATGAACACTCGGTCGACGCGCTGTTGGAAGAGGCCAGAGACCGATGGGGGAACACCCCAGAAGTCGGGGGATCTGAAGAAGAGGGCGAGGAACCAACAGATGTTCTGCAATTCTGGCATGAGTGGGGGGATTGCCCTCTGGAGTCACCACACCTGGACTGGGGCGATGATGACGACAATTTGGATTCTGCAGTGCGGGGGGGGCTCGTTCCCGTCCCTTCGGGGGATTGGGAACGAACCGACCCTGACAACGGCCATCCGACAACGAGCACATCGTCACGAAGTGTCCCATGCCAAGAAGAAAGGGGGGAGCCTACCAACCCCACCCTGGGAGAACAGGCCCCGGTGACGCCACCATGGCCAACTGAGAGACAAAGATCGAGGTCCCCATTGCCAAGACGGGGGAGAGGAGGAAGGCCACCTTTGCCGCGGAACAGACCTCCTTTGGGGGGAACAGACCAGGACAG